TGTGTCACTAAATGGCTTTGAGCACATCAGAGGCTCTTCGTTACCTTCGAATTAAAATCTAGCCCAGTCACTTCCCACAAGGCACATTCTGAGCTGGTCAGGAGAAGCTCTGTAAAGGTCAAAGTGTTTGTCTACTCTCTTCACAGCTGTGTCTCTGGCCCTGGCAGAGTCTAGATCATCATGGGCACCCAACACACAGTGGCCTAACCTACAATTAAGATAAGGCTTAACCACTTATTTCCAGCCTTGAGCATCCTGCTCTCCTGCTCATGCTCATCCTTGTCGTCCCATGATTCTGTTTCACTCATCCCTCCCAAGGGTCCTCACAACCCATCTACCTGAAATGCACTACACTGGCTTTGCCCATAGCTAGCTTAGCCTTTAGATCTCAACTCAAATGTTACCTCCTCCTCTCCTCCTCACAGGAGGAGCTCTTCTCTGTCTATCAGATTTAAAGGAACCCCACCTAACTCTTTATCATATCCATTTTGGCTTTCCTCACTTCGGATTCGCTGTCATTCCAGCTCTCTTTTCTGATTGGCCAGAACTTCTCAGTTACTTAGGTCCAGCCTTGGGGTTTGGTCTTTCCTGGCTTTTATTCAGCTGTTCCTAGGAGCTGAAAGGAACAAAGGAAGACCTGTCCTCATCTTTGTAGTAAGATCTGTGCTGGGGCAGATTCCCTGAAAAGGAGCTGTGAACACCAGGCACCATGGTTTACATGTTCAATACTTAGCACTTAGCACTGATGTGTCTGTTTAATATTTTGACAACTGCATAGTGTTAATTGGTTCCCCTCATCATCATCATCATCATCATCATCACATGTGTTTGAGTGGATGCCACTACAATCATCACTCTAACAAGCCTTCTGCAGGCTTCCTCAGATTGCTAAGGACCCATGTTATAAACAAGGGAGAAGTCCTGCACTGAGCCCACATCTCCTGGGGACATGGATTGGGTCTCAATACTGAGTCCTTAGCTTCCAGCACAATGCTCTGAAAGGTCTGAAATATTTATGGAGCTCATGAGGATTTACATCCCTGGCCTCTGACATGTGCTTGGCCTGTGAGGAAGTACTCTATGGAAGCTTCTAAAGAAATAACTACTGCAGTCCCAACTTGCTGGCCCATAGCCTGGTTCTTCAATCTCATCCGAGTTGACTTCACATTCCAACAGACTGATGCAAGGAATCGTTTATCAAGTAGGTTGGTACACTATCAACAACCAATTTTTATAACAATGCAAACTCCACAGTCACTCATAAATTACTTCAAGATAAACACAAAGTCTTGAAGTGAAGTGCTGCCAGATTAATGAACAGTTCCAGAACCCTACAAGTGACTTCTAACACGGGGGTCGTCCTGCAGGGCTGTGGATGGGCCATCCATGTTGCAGGCTCTGCATGGCACATATTCACCAGCCAGCTATGGAGAGACAGTGAGGCAATCTGAGGACTTGGGAAGCTGACCCTGTGGGTCACGTTCAGAGGCTCATATGGAAATGCCATCTGCTGACTTGCTTCCCATAGCCCCACACCCTAAGCAGCTGAGCTAATCATCTGGGCCACTCACATGAATACAAGGCTTCCCAGATACAGAAGAAGGGCAAAGTTCAGAAGAGGTAGATGGGAAGCCATAGTGACCCAGAACTAAACAGAGAGAGAAATCTCGAATAACATTCTTGAGGCTTCACTTCCTGCTCTTGATAATGGCAAGGAGCTTCAAAGTTACCCCTCCTGCCTTGCTCCACCCAAGCAGTCGTGACCCTAAGTCCCTGACAGCAAAGAGCAACGAAGGCCATGTCCTCATGTATCTTACCAGATTGCTGGCGGCGATATCAAGAACTAATCCAGATTTTTTTCTTTTGCTACAATATATTTTGAGTTTTCTTTTGCCAACTCTGTATGAGCTTTGCTTTTGATCCACCCAGAATATAGGAAGGCCACAATTCACGCCCTCCTCTCCTTCCCCAAGAACACTCTTCCTGACTAGCCCCAGGGACTGTCCAGGCTCTCATGTGCTCCAGCGGAGGGGCACATATGAAAGGACTAAGCAAGCGTACACAGCAGTACAGGGCATTGTCCATCTGCTGTTTAATGTACCTGATAGAGATGGATATTCAACAACAATTGTGAGCACCTATCTTTTGTCTAAAATCAGTTGTCCACATGCGCATGGATAGGTCTTTGTGTTCTCTCACGTTTAAGTTTTTTGCCCATGGTATCCCATTGTGCTCGTTACTACTGGTTTGCAGTGTTTGGAATCATGTGGTGCCTGTCTTCCAAGTCGGTCTTTTTTTCAAAGTTATTTCATCTTCTTGTTCTTTCACATCACCACTTGCATTTGAGAATTAATTTAGCACTTCCTATAAAATAGTCTTCTGGGACTTTGATGGACATTGTGTCAGTCACACTGAGCACTTTATCTTACCTTCAGAATGAGCCCTTGAACACTAAAGAAAATGACCGAGCAATGCCCACTACTGAGTGCTCATCATGTGTGTGTTGGATAGACAGCGAAGTGAAGAAGTGAGATCCAAGGAAAACATCTATTGTGCAACTCTTATTTGGAGCTAATTTATAAGGCTATCTACTGTCACTTTTGACATGCATAAAAAATAGCCAATGAGATACTGTGAGTTTAGGTATTTAAGCCAAGAAGCATAATAAATTTTGAGGCTAACAGAGGTGAAAAGGAGCTCCAGGAACCACACCACCAGTGAGATGTCATCACATAAAGTGACAAGGGAGCATGAAGTAGGATGACCACACTTTGCAGTCTGGCCCAGAACTATGCAGTTTTCCCACATATTCTTCTGGCATACCCAACATGCCCCCAAGTTCATATGTTCAAAGTTCAGAAAACTCAGTATTCCATTCTCTGAGAAGTGCTCTGTGTGACTGACACAATGTCCATCAAAGTCCCAGAAGACTATTTTATAGAAAGTGCTAAATTAATTCTCAAACACATGTGGTGATGCAAAAGAACAAGAAGATGAAATAACTTTGAAAAAAAAGACCAACCTGGAAGACAGGCACCACGTGATTCCAAACACTGCAAACCAGTAGTAACGAGTACAATGGGATACCATGGGCAAAAAACGGAAACGTGAGAGAACACAAAGACCCATCCATGCGCATATGGACAACTGATTTAAGACAAAAGTGTCAAGTCTGGGGTAGCCAAGATGGTGGATCAAAGTTTAGCCTCTCAGTGACTTGGAGTCAAACCAAACCAGAAAACAGGTTCTCACAGAGGCGTGTGACCGAGGGACACACTGGCCGACAGCACCTCAGAGGGACCAACAGTGCCTGGTCATTGATCTAAGGTGGAGGACGCAGCACGTGGTCCCTGAGCCCACAGCAGTGCAGCAGAGGAAGGAGTAACAGGGAGCACGGGAGAGGGGGGCTGGGGGAGCAACTGATGCAGAAACATGGGGAACAGAAAGACAGTGTGGACTCCGCAGATCCAGAAGATGCAGCTGGCTCCTGAGAGGCGCCACGCTGTGGCTGGGACCCATTGCAAGAGGGATGAAACCAAGCGCGCTGCTATAGGAAACAAAGCTCAACATTACTTTTTCCTTTGGAATACACAGCAAGTATCGTCATGCTGCTCTGGCCAGTGTCGACATCTGGACCCAGTGTCCATCCAGCAAAATGCTACTGAAACGAAACTCACTGAAGAACACATGGAATGGGGTTGGGGACTGAGGCAGGAGACCCAGAAGAGAGTAGAATTTGATTTCCTTTCAAGCAAGCAGAGCTAAGCTGACACCATGGGTAGCTAGCAGGGACTGGACCTCAGGAAAGCGCGGCCGTGGGAATGCAAAGTCGGGGACCTGATGAGAATCCCTCATCAGGCACAGACTGTTAGCGGGCTTTCCATGTGGGCATCGTCATGGGGTGCCTGAGATCCCGAAGTGCCATTTTGGTGCAAGACCAACCTCAGGGTGGGAGGATAATGGAGGGAGAAGGGGTTTCCTCAAGCTAGTCGTTTCTGAGTAAATTCTGGTCCAGGGAACTTTGGTTCCAGGCTACTTTGTCCTGGTGAGCAGGGAAACCTCTAGAGCAATAACAAATAAACTCAGTAGGATATAAATATATATATATAGTAATTAGAGAAGAAGAGGTCATGAATTTGAGAGAGAGTAGGGGAAACGAGATATTTGAGGGGAAGAGTGGTAGGTGGGAAGAATGTAGATATAAAACTCATGTATGAAATTCTCAAAAAAATAAAAAAAATTCAATTTAAAAAAGTATATAAAGAGGGTAACCACGGTCTAAGAACATTGTATATGTGTAGGATAATGTCATAATGAAACCCATTACTTTATACAGATATTTGAGAAGTCTATTTTTAAAAGGATATAACTGTACTTATATTTCACAGCTCTAGAGGTGGTGGGACCTGGGAGAATGGAGGCAATAAATGAGGTGGACTAGAGTCTCGTGCAGTAGCCAGCTTTACTCAGAGCATCAGGCAACTTGATCCCTACGGTTAAAGAAAATCCCATGAGGAAAGTTCTCCTGAGTTCAAGCTGTGTACAATCATCAGGACAAACTGCATGTGACAAAAATATGTTTGCCCATAGAGGCATACAAAGGGTAGTTTAGACAGTTAATTGAATAACACCAGCAAGCAATAATGAGTGATCTGAAGGAAACTCACTCCTATCTGCCACACCTGGGAGGTAGCACGCCTTGGACACATATTTGAAGAAACTGAGGGCCCAAGACTCTTATTTTCTTGGAGTGTTCTCACAAGTACTTAGAATTCTCCTCACACAGCTCCATCCCTGGACTGTGCTCCCACATGAACAAATGCATCAAATGTTGGTTCCATCAGTTTCATAAGACAAAAACTCCTGGGTCACACAGACACCAATAAAATAATAGTGAGTGGTTTCAGTTGGTCACTCACCAATAGATGAGTCATCAGACTAAAAGCAATTAACAAAGGAACTTCACAATCACCTTACACTAACACAACAAATGGACTTACACGTCTACGGAATATGCTGTCCAACGCCTTGCTGCAGCATACAGCTTCTCTTCCTCAGCTCAGAGAGAATTCTGCAAAACAGAACACATTTTAGGCCATAAAGCAAATCTCAGAAAAAAAAAAAAAAACTGGGACTGGAGAGATGGGTTCCCTGAAAGAGCAACAAAGACCCAGGATTGGTTCCCAGCACCCACCTCGCCCAGCTCACAACCATCTGTAACTCCCTTTTCTGGCCCTCTTTGGTACCACGCATGCACACACATGCGAGCAAAACATCCATACACATAAAATAAAAATAAATTTTCATCTTTTTAAAATTGAAGTAATATCTTGCATCTTATGAAATTACAATGGAATGAAACTAGAAATCAATGCCAAGAGGAACTCTCCAAACAATAAGACCACAAGGACATTGGACAATCTCTTTTCAAATGATAAGTGAGTCACTGAAGAAAGGAGAGAGGGAATATTCATTTAACCAAATGAAAATGAAAACAACATATCAGAGTCTGTGGGATGTAACAAAGAGAGTTTTAAGGAAAATATATAACTATGATTTCCTATATTTAAAAAAAAATAGGGTTTATGAGAAGGCTCACTGGGTAAGAGCACTTGCTTGCTGCTAAGCCTGATTCCCTGAGTTCAATCCCCAGGACCCATATGTGGAAAGAGAACAGGCTCTTGGAAATTGCTTTCTAACAAGCATCATGGATCACATATTCATGCACACACACACACACACACACACACACACACACACGCACACACACACGAAATAAATAATTCTAAGAAAATAATAATCACAGAGATCTTAAATAAGAAACATAATGATGCACCCTAAGGTTTTAGAAAAGCAAGACAAATCCAAAGGAAATAAAAACGTAGGAGCTGAGAGTCTAAGAGAACAATACGAAGTGCCAGGCAAACAGCTGGTTTCCTGAAGACAAAGACGGCTGGCCTGGGTGGTGCACACCCGAACTTGAGAGGCAGGTGGGCTGATCTCTGTGAGCTCGAGGCTAACCTGGTCTAAAGAGTGAGTTCCAGGCCAGGGAAGGATACATAGTGAGACACTGTCTACAAAAAAAAAGAAAAAAGAAACAAGATCGACACAGATTTAGCCAAACCAACCAAAAGAAAGTGAAATATGATCTAAATCAAGAGAATCAGAGGAAATTACAGCAGTTACCACTGAAGAGGGTGCAGAGGCTATTTTGACATCTTACCCTCCAAAAATAAAACCTAGAAAAAGTTTTGATAGATTTTTAGACATAAATGACTTAATAAAATTAAACTAAAAAGATACCCCCCAAAAAACCAAATAGATCAATAACGAGTTATGAGGTTGATGCAGTAACATAAAATGTTTTTCCAATAAAGAAAAACACAGGACTGGAGGGATTGACCAATAGATTTTACTTGAATGTTAAAGAACAGCTAACACCAATGTTCCTGAACCCATTCCATAAAATAGAAAGAGAGAAATGCTTCCAAACTCATCCTTCCTTGTAAACCAGTATTGCCCTAATCCCAAAGCCAGGTACAGACACAACCAGAAAGGAAAACTATAGATCCAGTCCTCTGATGAACATAGATACAAAAGTTCTCAACAAAATATTTGCAAGCTGAACTCAACGATACATTTAAAAGATCGTAATCAAATTGGCATTGTTCCTGGAACACAGGAATGAGTTAGCCTGTATAGCTCAATAAATGTAATACATTGTATAAACAGAATCACATGGTCATCTCAACTGATGCAGAAAGAGCACTGACAAAATTAAATATCCCGTCATTTAAAAGGCCCTGAGGAAATTAGCCAACGTGCTTCAATGCAATAAAGTCTGTATAAGGCAAACCCACTGTTAACATCATGCTAAAAGGGGGAAAAACTGAAAGCATTTCCTCTAAAATCAAGAACAAGATAAGGATGTACACTCTTGGGGCTCTTATTTAATATAAAACTCCAATATAATATTTCACCCATATTACTTACTCAAGAGAAAGAAAGCAACCAAAGGGATAAAAATGGGGAAATAATTCAAATTCTCCCCATTGGCTGACAATATGATCCTATCCCCAATAGACAGCAACTCTACCAGAACGCTCGTAGGTCTGATAGACACTTTCAGCCAAGTATGTGGGATGCGAAATAAACATGTAAGAATCGGCAGTTCTCTGAGACTCAGCAACAACGCTGCTAAGAAAGCTGGAAACCGACACAGAAGACACCAGACGATGGAGACACTGCCCATGCTGCTGGATTGGTAGAACTGAGACTGTGAAAGTACTTGTCTTATCTAAAGCAATCTACACATTAATAAAATTCCCAACAATATCCCACTGATATTCTGAAGAGACATACAAAAACTATGTACAGTTCACATGGAAGTATCAAGAATCTTGACTAGCCAAAGCAATCCTGAGCACATGCTGGGGGTATTACAAGTAGCTGATTCAAATTATACTAGAGTCATAGTAACCAAGACAGCATGCTACTGGCACAAAAATATACATGTAGACATAAACCCACACAGCTAAATACGTGTTTTCAACAAATGGTACTGGGACAGCAGGGCGTTTGTTTGCAAAGAAAGGTATGAGAGAGGGAGGGGAGGAGAGAAAAAGCAATAATACATCACATTCCTGCTCCCTTGGTCCAAGTCACAGTAAAGAATAGAAGCAACTGCTGGGCAGTGGTGGCGCACGCCTTTAATCCCAGCACTCAGGAGGCAGAGGCAGGCGGATCTTTGTGAGTTCAAGGCCAGCCTGGTCTACAGAGCAAGATCCAGGAAAGGTGCAAGATCCAGGAAAGGTGCAAAGCTACACAGAGAAATCCTGTCTCGAAAAAAAAAAGTGTGGAAGCAACCACCCCTCCTGTGTGACATGTTCTCTCTCTCTCTCTCTCTCTCTCTCTCTCTCTCTCTCTCTCTCTCTCTCTCTCTCTCTCTCTCTCTCACACACACACACACACACACACACACACACACACACACACTATATTTTGGTAACCTCTTTCAATTTGGGACTCTCCCATACATAGAGACCCTAAGAACCACATTCAAATGCAATTGGTTAACTTTTAATGGGTCCCGAGAGACACTGTCAGAGGAGTAAGGAGACAAGACAGGGAATGGCAGGAAACAGTCAAGAATGGATTTGTTGCTGAGCAAGTAACCACTCTGGGCAATTAGAGTTTAACCTGACTCATCTCTGGGAACCAGAATAGAAAATGCTCACCCATATCACATCAGCTGAGCAGTGAGACCCATATCACATCAGCTGAGCAGTGAGACCCATATCACATCAGCTGAGCAGTGAGGGAACAAGGGACTCACACACCAGCTCCTGACACTCCTCATTTGAGCCAATGCCTCCTCTAACAAGCTTAGTCTAGGTGGGGAGACAGTAGATTGTCTTATTAAACTTTGAATCCCTCCCTGACACGGGGTTAAGTTCCTTGCCAGCAGGATCCATCTCTGCAGGATCTAAAGCAATTTCTGACTTCTCAATATAGATTTGAGGCCAGGAAAGCAAGCAGATCTTGCCCTGTTGAAGCTGAGTGGTATGGACTGAGGTGCTAAGATTGCAAGAATACCAAGGGCATACTCACACTAGCATAGCACCCATTCTCAAGCACCGGCTTAGGTGCTTGGTGGGATGCACCTCACAAACGCCCACATACTCACCTGTATTTCTCAGCCTTGATACCAAAAAGCTGTGAACAGAAGTGATCTGGCTCACACCAAAACCAAAACATTTGTGAGTTGGTATGTACCTCTTTTCCTCTCTTCTCATACCACAGCAACTCAAAAGTTTCATGTTCAGACAAGACATTTGTAGGACACAACTACACTGGATCCATAAGTTACCCCTGGGAAAGAAGCTGGATTAGAAAATTGCAAGACCCACAGCTGTCTTTGTGCAAAGAGAAACAAACCTAAATCTGCTAGAAGTGGAGATTTCCTGTCTTGTTACTGCAGCAAGGGTTTACCTAACCTGACTGCTATAGACAAGATCTTTTGTCCTGGTTCAAATTTTATGTATTCATTTGACGGTTACTTATAGCATACTATATTTCATGCAATATTTTTATGATGAATATAAAACAGTGAAAAGGAAGCCCTATGGAACACAATACACGATAGTGGGAAACCATTTGCCTGCCATGAAAGAAAGACCAGAATTCTAAGAGGTTAGAATTACACTAGAAGGGATCACATGGTTATTGTAAGACAAGGCTGTTTGGAGGGGAAAGGGCAAGCATGGGAGCCGGGAAGCTAGTTGAACTGTTATAGCACTTGGCACCCAAACATGAAGACCAGAGTTCAGATCCCCAGAACCCATCTGAATGCCAGGCAGTCCAACTATAATTCCAGCTTCAGGAGGTGGAGACAGAATCCCCAGAGCAAGCTAGATAGCAAGACTAGCCATATAGGGAGCTCTGGGCTTTATTGCAAGAGCCTGCCTCAGTGAGTCAGGTGCAAGACCAACAGGTGAGGACTCCCAGCACCAGTCCTGGGCCTCATACACATGAACATATACACATGAACATATACACAAGTGCACCACACATATGCAAAAATGTGCAAATACACACATATGCACATCATACACAGACATGCACCACAAAAAAAATGGAAAAAGAAAAAGTCAAGCTTCTCTTTGCACTTAATGTCAACCTTTACTGAATGACCATTGTGGTTTGAGTCATCCAATAGCATCCTGTGTCCGAACACCTGACTCTGGCGAGTGGCACTACTTGGGAAAGTAGTGGAACCTTCAGGAGGTAGATCCTCACTGGAGAAAGTGAGTCACTGGGGAAGCAGGTCTTTGGATTTTATTCCTTGGCCCCATGTCCTGCCCACTCTGTTTGTTCTCAGCACACAATGTGACTGGCCACCTCACACTTCTGCCCCCATTCCTTCCTCGCTGCAATGAGCTGTGTCACCCAAACTGTAAGCTAAGATAAACACGTGCCTCTCCTGTTGCTTCCTGTCAGGTGTTGGCCATAGCAATGAGAAAAGTAACTAAACACCCATTATGGACCAGAGCAACTGTCAGATTCAGGGAC